AAACTGCTAAAAAACGAAAATCATGTAAATATAAGGTTTATTTTGAGTTAACAACAAAAAATCATTGCCTTTATCAATATTGCATTGTATTGCAACGTGAAGGAAATTATTCAAACTGTTGCGACGGTTTTGAAAAACTGCATCGCGTCATCTTACGTGAAACAGTTCAATTACTTGTGAATATAAAATCTGAAGTCACATTTTCACGTCACCTACATTCGTTATCGATATAAAAAGCCAAGTTTCTTATTTAATCTGCAATACTACTATATAAATGACTAAGTATTAAATATTTCAAATTATTATCCGGTTCGTTAACCTCATTTGTGTGAATTCGTTTGGAGATAATTATATTCATTCCCATAAATAAGCCAAATAATTAGAAACGATTTTAGATAATATTATGTGAAAAAATTATGTTAAACACGTGGCAGATAAATCTTGACAATATTTCAACTTTCAAGACCAGATAAATAATGATTCCTGAGCATCGCTTGTAAAATATGTAGCGACCAATGAAAACCGACGACAGTGGATCAAGGACCAATGAGATTGCGCTGTGTAACGGGCATTGGCGTCTCTGGAGCGTCACCGGGAGCTGACCTTGGCGGTGCTCGGCTGCATTCACGGAAGGCGCCCGAAAACGCTTCGGAAAAAGGCATCAGGGGCAGCGCGCGTTCGTGTCGCCCATTGTTATCCTCGTCGCGTGTAATGGCTACCGTGGAGTTTGTTGACGGTTCCCTGTCTGCTTGTTCGCGCAACGGCCTATCCTGAGCCACGGTACGCAGCGACGTGGCTGTACCCGCACGGGAATTGAAACCGAGCAGAGAGCGGAATACCGAAAGCCGGAGGTACCGCCAATTTTATGCAACCGCGGAACCCGCGCTTCGTATACCAGTCGCCGCAGCCGCCACCGCGCTTGGACGACATGATCTGCGCGGGTCAACGCTGCCCGTTGACAAGCGTGTAACTTGAAACTGATTTCGCGGCATCCAAGCATACGGGCGAGATATCGCTTAACGGCGTTTGTGACCAGTGGTAATTTTAGCGGGATCCAACGTAGCGAACGGAAACAGTGTATCAATAGCATCTGAAATCGATCGCCATTGATTTTCCGCCGCGACCACGGCCCAACCGACACGAGGAACTTGTTCTCGGATGTTGTATAGGACGAAATATCTAAACCACTTATTAAGGTATCGCGAGCATCGGGATTAGTGTGACCAGCTGCGCGGCATTCCGCGCCGCAGTCATGGCAACTAGAAGATCATCCGTTTGGCATCCAGACATATAACCCGCGGCGCCCGTGTAGACTATCACATGTGAGTATCGTCGTATATTGCGGTTGTGTTTTTCGACCTGGTTTCTCTATTTTCTATCGAACTTCTTCGTAAGATTTGATTTATATATATACATATATACGTATATGTATATGCTACTGTGGTGTGCCATTGTTAGAAGAAAGAGCATGGTTTGCATTCGCGTTGATGTATCATCTGCCTTTCTTGTCTTTTTGACTGACGAATGCCTACTGGTTGTGCAGGGTCAAAGGCAACACATCAATGGCCCTAGAATCAAATGGCAACAACGTGGTGTGGTTGAACACAACCCGTCCTGATCAAATACAACAGGTATGCAGCGTTCGTATACCAGCATGAAGTAAAAAGGGGACAAGGTTTCTTCATTGGTATTTATTAGCTTCTCGTTGATGCTCGATGCACATAACGTACAACGGTGTGTGTAGCATGTTGAATGAAACAAGGCATTGTAGAACGTGGTTGTTTTCCAAAGCAACAATACACAATAGTCCTGTAATATCTAATGGCCACTTAACTGTCTGACAGAGCCAACCGATCGAGCAGCCTGTGAAGTGTTCCATGTTTACTCAAACCGAGCAAACCAACAGTTTCACTCAGACGGAGCAGAGCAACTCGAGCTACGGCGATCAGAGACAGGTTATTAATTGAATAAACATTGATAGGGATAACTTAGATCAGATCTTGCATTTCAATATTTTTTTCATATCTCTGTCGAACGAAAAAATATAAAAAATTCTTATTCGATACTGATTTACAGCAACAGGCAGCAATGTTTGACCCACAACAAATACAGCAGCAACAAGCTGCTCAGGGTCAACAGTCCCAACAGCAGCAGTCTCAACAGATGTACGTTACAACCGACAAAAAGGAGGACAAGTCTCAGCAGCAATCAGCAACTGCAGACTTTCCCTTTTATTACAATGTCAACATGCTGCAAAAGGTTCAAACAAACGCGGTGAGCACGATCGGTGCGATCACAACCGACGACAAGGGTTGTTATCGTTTTGATGTGCAGCCCGTCGGTTATAACACATTATTAAACCAGATGAGCATCGCGGCCGCGACCAATGCCACATTCAAATGTGACATTTGTGGTTTGGTCTTCGGACACATGAGCTTGCTGAATCATCACAAACGGATTCACAATACAACGCCCAGCAATCTTCAACAACAACCGCAGCAAGTTGTCGTGCAAACACCTACGACGGTGACTGTTGCAACCACACCAGAAAGACCGTATACCTGTGATGTGTGCGGAGCTTGTTTCGCATTACCAGGAGAATTGAAGAGCCACAAAACGAATATGCACCAGAAACCCAAAGTGCAAATTTGTGAGGATTGCGGCAGCGAGGACCCCTGTGAACATCATCCTACTAAAGTTAAGAAGAGTAAGTTTCAGAATTTTGTTATCAATTCCTCCTCTAATAAATAAACTTAGAATAAACTATAATAATCATTCGTTTGTGCAGCTATCAAACCTGGTCATCATCCTGTAAAACGAAGGGGTGTCACCAGTGTTACTAAGTGTCACAAGTGCAATGGCACAGGAATTATTTTCATTGGTAAGTAAAAATTGCTACTGTCAGGCTTCATGCAAGTTGAAGAAAAATGTTTACCATTAGATACCGCTTGAAAAGAGGCGCGTATTAAGAATTCAGAAAAGAGAAAACATTTTTCTTCTTGATTCATAATCATCTTTCCTCTATCCTTATCATTGCATTACTATCATGATCGTACATCGGGTGGTGTATGGTAGGTAAACACGACGAAAAACTAGATTCTGGAATCAGTTCCCTCGCAAAGTGTGGCGGCTGCAAGGCTACAGGCCGCATCATCATAGGAAGTAAGTCGGAAAAATTACAGCCAAAAAGAAATAAGGGATTTAGATTTTATAGCGTATCTCTCACTCGCGCCACAATTCAGTGGCGATTACGTCGATCTTTCAAAATTTCAAACAATCTTCACGTCCTATTCAAGAAAATTAAATATTATCACACTGTCAGTATTTAAAACTATTCAAGATAACTTACCATTATTCGTTCCGTCTGTTCTTTTCATTTCGGGGATTCATAGCAGAAATATATACAAACGTAGCACAATAAGCTTTTTCTCTATTATTTATAGTATCTTCAGTTTGCATGCATTCGTCGTAGATAGACAAAGTTTTCAGCACTCGCCGGTTTTCTGTAATGTTGAAAATTTTGAATCTGTTGCATTGGTTCTGTTTCCATTATCGTAGCATTGTCGATATTTACATTTAAGAATCATTGCACGGAATGAGATCTCCCCTAAGGGACAGTTTTATGAATTTGATTCACTAATAATAGATTCACTAATTAGCATCGTCGATGTTCGAGAAATTATTTTAGATTTCAGTTTATGTACTTTGTTTATTTGAAGACATAGGCCACGAGAAATTCCTTTTAATACTTTCAACACAGCTAATCACTCATATATAACAATACAAAAGTCATTGGGTTTAATGATGATGACGCCATACTCTAGTTTTTACTTTCCTCACTAACTTCCGTAACCCGCATGTTCAGACTTCTACATAATTTAGTCGAAAACATGAGTTTTGCATTAAAAGGAGATATTATACTGATTAACGTGAAAGTTCCCTTTTGGACGTATCAGGAAAGTGAACATTTTCTAAAGAACCATACACAATCCAGTGTCTCGGATGCTACGGGAGCAATTGATCATCTCAAAGCATACCTGTTTGTAGAACTGGCCCTTCGAGGAATACTAAGAATTCGGGTATTTGTTTAATTGCAGGCGGTAAACAGAACAGCCAAAATCAGGCAGAGAAGCCGTTTCACTGTAACGTTTGCGACGGGACATTCTCCAGATACTCGTCGCTTTGGTCCCACAAGAGACTTCATTCTGGAGATAAACCATTCAAGTGTGAAGTCTGTGGCTTAGCTTTCGCAAAAGGTGAACAAACCAGAACCCTACCGAATAATCAAGGTAACGCCAGGAACATGATTTACGACGTTTGTTTTCACTTTTACAGCTGCTTATCTAAAAAATCACGGACGAGTGCACACCGGCGAGAAACCTTTTAAATGTACTGTTTGCGGTATGCAATTCTCGCAAAGTCCACATTTGAAAAATCACGAAAGAATCCACTCCGGTGAACGTCCTTATCAGTGTGAAGTATGTGAAAAGACATTCGCCAGACACTCGACCCTCTGGAATCACAGAAGAATTCATACCGGTGAAAAACCTTACAGATGTAATATATGTGGTTCGGCCTTTAATCAAGCTACACATCTGAAAAATCATGCGAAAGTTCATACTGGTGAAAAGCCGCACAGGTAGCGCATCGTTACCTTGAACGTGTGTTCGTCGTTTAATTTAAGTCACTAATCAACGTCGTTCGCCTTGCAGATGTGATATATGCGAAATTGGATTTTCTGATCGCTTTGCATTAAAGCGTCATCGTGCAATTCACGAAAAGTACGGGCAGACCGCCCGAAATCCGAATTCGAATAATGCGAATAACGCACAGCAAGCGAACGCCAGTAACCAGCAACAGCAACAGCAGCAGCAGCAGCAACCCCAGCAAGCGCAGCAAGGTCAACAGGTTGTCGTGGTGAACGCTACGACTCCTGTTACCGTGAGCCAAGGTCAAGGCCAAGCGGTAATGCTCGAAGAAGTCTACAAGTGTCAGGTGACCTTCCCAGAGCCTAAATGATTCAGCTAGAGAATACCTTTCAGGAGCTGGTAAAGGGGTTAATTTTTTAACCTTTTTAAACAAACAAAAACTATACTAATTAAAATACGATACACTTGCGTGCGAACGTATACAAACGAACGTAAAAAAAATGTAAGGGAGAAGGTAGACAACATTTGGAAGAGGCACGACTCCGGGGTGAACAGCACGTCGTCCGTGCAGATTTTCTCTGGGACAATTATTTGGTGACAGTCGGAGGTATTTTAAATATATGACGGATGAAAAAAGGGGGAAGGTAGAAGAGGGAAGAAGATTCGCCAGTAGTTTTCACGGCTGGATGTTTTCGTAAAACGTGACTCGGAAGAGTACACACGGCTCGTAGAAAATCGAAACAATCTCCCAACTCCGGTAATAACGATATAAGATCTTTTTGTGAATGAGTGGTTCTGAAACGATATTAGGAGGAGGAAGAGGAGGAATTAACGAGGCAAGAATTAGTAGTAAATCTGTTTCATATTTTCTCACTCGAGGTATGCAGACGTTTTAACATCTGATCGAATAACAATCGTCCTACAGATATTGTAGTACTTTCTTTGAGTTTTAAACGTGAAATTACGTTATTTCTTTTTCTTGAGGTTTCGCGTAACCGTAATTCCTCACATTGAATACAATTTAACGAAATGAGATTATAGTACATACAGATAATGCAATGGGGTTTCATGACCTAGTGAATCATAAAAAAAGAAGCATATGTGATACCTTCGAGTGAATTCTTGGCTAGACAGAAAATTCTGGTAACATGACCACACAGATACTAATAAACTGTGCAAATTATGCATATTTATGATCGACGTAGACAAGTGTTTTAAAATCGAATGTTAAAATTACACGTCGATAGGCCTGAAGAAGAAATTTATTTTACACACATGCCTGAACCTCGGCCCTTGCTTATCACGAATAATGAATTAAAAATGAGTTCAATAATCGATGCACGTTAATGTCGGCTGTTCATTTGAAATGAATAATCATTGATAAAATAATAGTTATTCTTTTAAGAACAACGAAATTATCGATTGGTATTAAGATGTACTTTCCTTTTGTGATTGTTTGGAACGGAAGTCGTGGAGTGGAACGATAATCGCAATTTGAGCGAGCCCTCTTCCGTCCAGTCATTCGGGATCACAATAAAGAGAAAAAAGAAAAACAGTTGCGTTACTGCAATGACAACGACCACGATTGAAAAGATGAACGTAAAAGAAGTGACAATGACGACGAAGAATAATGCCACGAGAGGAAGATTTCTATCTTACACGGAGCTGCAATAAATAATAGTGAATATCTCTCGACGAGCAGACTAATCTGTTTTTTAATTTTAAGGCCGTGAACTATAATGGATATCAGTTACTAAAAATAGTTGCTAGTTTGTAACGGCAAAAATAGCTGACTAGATTATCTATACGATATATACATAATTAATTTTTATATCCCCACTTGTTAAGTGCGATGGCCAAACACTGTCGCTGTGAACTCTTAAAAATAGCGGTGAATCAGAATCGATTCGGTCTGTAACTTGAAAAAAAAAAATAGGAGAGGTTTCACCGGTCCCACAGCTCCGACTGGTCGGTAACTCGTGGTGTCGATGATAGCAATCGGAATACCACTTAAACCATTTTGTACGCAAACATAAACGCTGTTCCTTGAATACCTTTGTCGACTGTATTTTTCTTTTCGCGATTAAACATTTTTTCCAATATTTTTTAAACGGTGTTGGATAGAATTTATGTTTCTCCCCTCGCTGCTGTACACATACATGAAATAAATTATTATCTTCTAAAATTCGCGAGGACGAGTTCGCCAACAGGATCCACAAGTAAAATCTTAGATCGTGTTGTCGTCTAAACATTATCGTTTCTTGTGTAAAGGACGAAGGAAATAAATCAAGACTCATTATTACGAATGAATCAAGCCTGAAACTTACGGGTACAGGCGACAATATATGGCTCGGTGATATCCCGTAATCTTTTATACAGTGTATGAATTGATAATATTTGATGAATATTTAATTAAGAAATACTATTGAGAGGACTACTACATAAAGTGTTCCACCCCTACAATCGAATCGTTGAGCAGGTCGGATGGTTTAACACGGGAGGCCTGGGTTTGGGGATTACTTTGTTTTTATCGCTATAACTTGTAAAATAAAGATAATGCTATTACGTTTAATTTACCTTTAATGTGGTCATAATACCTGCTACAGTATTTTCAATTAGATTAGAAGAACTTTTCTCTTCGATATTCCCTGAATTTTTCATTTCGCCTGATTTATTATTTTCTTGTCTGCAAGACTGAGTGGCGTACTTCAATTCTCTTAACACTGTCACATCTAAACTTTTAATAGTTGAATGTTCAGACGCCCGTTACACAGCAATCGCTATAGAAATACTGGGTAGAATTGAATTGTTTTCCATTCGAAACTCAATCACTTTAGTCGTTTTATAGCGAAAACAGTAAGCCATGCGTTAAAAGAAGAAATTTCCATTCGGAGTAAACGTTTCTATTGTTTCACTATGTAACACTACTTTCGAGGGAGAACAGAGTCTGTATATATTTATTACCGATTGTACGATGTCTTCAGGTCGAAGAGGAGGGCTCTAATCGTAGCATTTTATAAACCGATTCACTTTTATTCGATTGTATACAAGTGAAACCACGAAAAGCAAGCGTACGATTCTTTATTTGTTTGTGTATTTACTACAAAGTGCTCAAAATAATTAAGATGTAATCTATAAGATCATTTGTTTCCCTTTAAATTTCAATACACTTTTCAGAGTCTGCCCCAGAATCCTCTTAATAATTTTGAGCAACGTCGAGCAGCATTCTGGAATGAATTTCGTGACCGTTCCTCCAGATAGTTTCTCGACTGTTAGTAGAAATTTGTGAATCTTTTGTAATTAATATAGTCTCCGGGCCCTGTTTTTCGAGCGAATTGTAACACACTTTCATAATATTATACTTACGTTGATGAAAGACCTGCCGTCGCGTAAGGTCGATCAAGATTGTAAGTAACGAAGTCTTAGGTGAATAAGTAAGTTTATGAATCGCGTCGTAGAAATTGTCAAAGGAGATTACGGGACCGTATATGAAGCAATCTTGTTAAGAGCATGATTAAAAGCATTGGTCGGTGCCATTTATACATAAACGTTTCCTCGTTTCCCTTTTGCAAGTTCAACATTTTCAATCCAAATCGATAGACACTTTCCCCACGGTTACGCGTGACTCCTGGCAATTTTACTACGCTCCTTAGATAATGTACTGTAATATGTACGAAATGAAAATTCGGAGCTTCCATTTTAATCAAAAAACGCCTGGAAGCGTTTTCCTCAGCCTCGTAGTTAACATGTACCCGTGATCTATCTGATTTTTCAATTGTACATACATACACGCGCATTGGATCACAGATAATAATTCTGCAGAAAAGAGAAACCAACAGTTTATTGCGTTCCGTTTAACATTGCGTCGATTAATTTAATCAGCAACGAATCCTTCCTTAATCGTTTGAAAATTAAGGGTCGAGGTTTCAGGGTCATTACGAAGTGCACCAGTCTTTTGTAATTGTGCATGGGATTTTCAAAGGAACATAAGAGAGTGACGTATGAATTTGCATGCCGATAACAACCATCGAAAACGATCGTTGTCCTTAAAACGTTCGACCCTTTTTATCACGTTTCCTCTGACTCCGAAGGACTGACGGCTTAATTAATTCGCGCACGTCATTCACTGAAAGATTAATCTTTATCTGGATCATAAACAGCAAAAGGAAAATAACAACTCTTCTCGCAACAGTATTTTTTAATTATGGACAACAACAGACAGCAGAGTTGACGTCCAGATAGGGATTAAACGGACGTACCGAGGCGAAGATACGTAAAAAATGTGTATAAGTATATATTGTATAAGTCTTGTAACATGTACAGATTTTTCGTCCGTGCTCGAAGGAAAGTCGAAGGGTTTTTTTGTACAAAACTTTTCTCGTTAATTGTGCGCAAGCAAAGGGAAAACGAATTTTTCCATTTCTCTTTCTTCTTTTCCGGTTTTTTTATCTATCTCTTTGTCTCTCTCTTTCTCTTTCTCCCCTTTTGATAACGATGTTCGTCGTCTAGCCAAACAGGAAAAGAACAAACGAAGAGGAATGGTAGAAGATAAGGAAAATATATAAAAAAAAAGAAGGAAAACATACGAGTACACGGTATACGGTACGGACTATACCGCATTAATGTAGAAACATATTCGTAAAGATAATAAAAAAAGCTAGTGGCGAAGAGACGTGGAAGGAAATCATGAATGAATAGAACTTAGACATAGCGTGCAATTTTACGGAGTTTCTTAATTAAATAAGGAGGGAAAAAAAGGAAAAAAGAAGAACAGGAAGGATACATGAAAGATAGAACAAGGAAATATGCAGTCCTATCGCGGTATAGATTAATTTTTACATGACACCACGTTGTATGGGCAATAATGCTGATCATACGAATTTTTGATAATAAAACACGTTCCTATTAAATTATCTGTTCATTGTCGTATTGTTAAGTCTTCTGAAGTGGGGGCGATTAGAAGATGTGGAAAAGAGATGATGTCTTTGAGGATATAGATTTCTGACGCTCGGGAAGAGTTGAATGGCCTCTTTGTAAGATAATAAAGAAACATCCTACTTTGAAAAGAAACGTATAGAAGTGAATAAATGGTACAGGAGAACAGGAAATAAAGATGATGAGGTATGAGATGAAAAAAGGGAGAAGCATTGTAATTTTTTAATGCGACGACAAGAAAATTAAAAGGAACATTGGTAAACATGAATCTAACGACGTGAGACTGTATATTTAACATAATAATTTATTTTCAGGGTATCTATCAAGATATTTTTTCATTTGCCATTGTAAAAAATTTGGAAGATTTACGCACTTTCTAATAAACTACAGTAAGTGTGTAAAATTATACATAAAACCCTAATACGATAAGGAAGACGAAATTAATTATTATTTCCGTTCTTTCGAGGAGGACCTCGACGGTCTGTCGACACTCTCATCGTCGAATCCGTGAGAGTGTCGAGGACGAAGGTTGTGGTTAAAGAAAAATATTACTTTTATCATTGTAACGTTATAAATCAAGTGAACTGTATTCCGCGATGCGCTTTTTTAAAATTATTAAGTTTCAATCTTTCGTTTTCCTTTGGCTTCGACTTCCGTGGTATTTTTGTTTGACATTAGATCGAGGGGGAGGAATTTATACGTCTAACTTAGAACGATGTAATTAAGAGAAATCATTTGTAAAACGAAGCCGAAAATAAATAATGGTAAAATGGCACGCGGTGGTGGAACCACTACGAAGAAACTTGTAATGTGTATAATACACGTACATATGCGCGCATTTGCGCGAACACCGTTTTTGTATGAAGGAACAGTCGTAAAGGAAAAAAAAAGATTGTCACTTTAGATTAGTCTGCTGTCAATATAACTAGAATTATAATTTTAAATGTAACATGTATTATATTGATTATTGCCTAGATAAGGAAACCGTACCGATTAAAAAGTTAGCGCACGATTATATCAGACTTTAGGTATATAATAATAAATGATGTCCACGGGACATTTTCATTTTTGAAGATTCACGTGAATTTTATTCAGTAGATAATGCGTGTTGTTACTACAGTGATACACATGCCCGAACTATTTTCTAATATTTTATTGGGCCGAAATCATTTTTATACAATTTTTACCATCTAAAATTTTACTTTTATTCATCGACTTTCCGATTCTCATAGATTTTGCAATTGATATTTATATTTTTGATATCGAATTTTGTAGTCGACGGTAAAGACGTTAAATTCTGGAAGACTTTCAAATAAATTTATATCTAACAAACTTTACATTATCAGCTTGAGGTGTTGGATAATTGACAAAGATTTATATTCGAAATGCGCGTTCATTGATATAATAAAAAAGTCATTGCACGCATTTGAATCATCGCGATTCAGATTACACATGCGCAGAGGGCTCGATAAACGGCGTTACTCCAGTCAAATAGTGATTGCACGGCACGTGACTAAAGTTGACGTGATGTTCAGAATTTCGTTCACCACGCCGTCATGGAGAAATGAATATGGCGCCGTCAAGAATACTGAATTGTGTTTAGTGATCGGATCTCCGGAATTTGTGTAAAGTGACGTTTTTTAATTGCCAACATATTTTGTCATCGTGTTAATATATTCGTGAAAATGTTATCCAAGTAGAATTGAAGTTTCATTGAGGGCTCGACCTAAAAGGTAAGACATTTAGCATCACATATCTTTCATAGCAATACGGTTGTTTTGCAAAATTGATCTATGTAGATAGTTTAGAAAAGTAATTATTAAATTATAGTTCCTTGAAGTAAACAAATATCTAATATCTTTTATTCATCACATATTGTGGTCATTGTATCGCAATGGTAGGTATTAATTATTCTCAATGAAGCATGTGGTTTATATTTACCTAATTGACTGTTTAATAATTAATGCATTCTACGAAATTTCTATTATCTATGTGTACAAAAATTTAAGATACTTGAAACTTTTCTCTGTGATAGAATATAAATGCATAAACGAATACAGCAATAAATTTTGAAACGGTATAATTAGAGATAGCCGTATTAGTCTAATGTCTCAAAAAGATATATTCGTAATGCATAAATGAGGACTGCTAATGTTTTAAGTAATTTAAAAAGACGTCTACATACATATGCATCTATTTTCTATCACTTTAGATACGTATTCTAAATGCTGACATAAACTGATTATCATTTACATAATTCGATTTTCAATTACAATGTACTTCGTTACGTGCATAAAATTCCAGACGAAAATTTGATAAATATTGTTTACATTACGCAATGCGCAAAAATCTGGAAGAGCTGATTTCACGTCCTCTGCGCGTTGCTAATTTTTCATTATAATTTTGAAACGATTCTTGCAAATAAGTAAGGGAAACAAATTTATTCTTATTTCGTAACCAACTCCGGCAGTTGTAGTAAAACTGATTCGACGATATTATATCGAATAACTACGGGGATTTGAATAATAGGAACTCAATTTTAGTATACATACCTTTAGAATTATTCTAGCTAAAGGGTTAATCACGCCTGCGCATAGTAAAAATCGCCTATCCTATCTGCAGTAATCTATCGCCCTTAACGGGATAGACTCCGATAGCGAGGCGATGAAACAGAATGTATCTATTAAATTAGCAAAACTTGCAAAACTACCCAAGCTCCTTACATCATTTAAACAAATAATTACGTAAAGATCTGTAACAATTTTTATCCAAGATAGCTCAATCGAAAGTCTTTGCTAGACTGACTATGCAAATCAGACTCGTTCAGGACTTCCTCCCAGGGGGGAGTCCAACGTCGCATTATCGGTCCTCAACTAAATATTGTAATCTAATACTTGGGCATCTGGAATGCGTCGGGCCCTCTTGATCAAATGACTCTCGAAACTTTATTCTGCTTACAAAAGGACAGCAATCTATATTATTCTACTTGAACTGTTAAAAAATTACAGGTTCTCGAGGTTGTTTTCAGCAGTTACGTTGTGATGTCCTAACAATATTTGTAATCAGTACATTATAGATGTAGATTCTCAAGGCCGTCGTTATCAACAACATTGTAGACGCTAAAACTGCCGGTCAAGCGACGATGGCCAACATCTGAAATTCAGTGATTGCGGACACGATTTTCAGGAGAAAAATATACTTATGAAGTAGTACGTTTTTTTTTTGAAAATTCATTTAACATTCTGATCAGCTCTCCCTTTCCCTTCGTGCAGTATTTTATTCTGTCTCATTATGCGTTAATAATAATTAGAACTTCTTTATAATAGCCATTTTTACTTTAATCCCGCGTCCGTGGAATATAAAAGGAAAAAAAGAACATTAAACGGTGACAGATTATTGTGGTTCGAATGCATAAATAATTACGTATTAAAATTACAAGATCAGGAGTTAGTTTTTTTTAAATGAATGATATTATAGAATACTTAGGAAAATTATGCTATTGCTGTTGTGTAGTAAAGGAAAAAGAACTTTCATATAATGCAGATACTCGCTTAAAATATATTCTTAAAATATTTGAGGTACATTTCCAAAAATCGGCAATCGCTTCTTTACAAATGAAATCAATGTACAAACGGATAAAGACCTCTTATATTTGATTCGTAAGGTTGTACGTGAAAAGTCTGACGACGAGGGATAGCTTTCATTTTGTACAACCGATACCATAATCGTAAAGTCAAGAAATAAATAATTTCCACCAACGAGATGATACTAAATCCCATGAATAGACCCAATAAGCCGCCTGTGCTCGCTATACATAAAATATGTTCTCTGATTAAAATCCTCAATCGTCTGTAACTCATACAATTTCCTAGCAGTCTTCTCAGTGTTCTATTAAGGATGTATTGGCTATACAGTCAATCCCAAAAGTTTATGCACTTTAGAAACGCATTTTTTAAAAAGAAATCAGACGTCGGAAGAACATTGCTAATAA